GGCGTGGTGTAAAGACCCCCTGCAGGCGGGCGATAGACTGTATGTGATGCCCTGGACGCCCTATCGCACCGACATGCTGTATGAATACGCCTCCTGGGACGACTACATTCAAAACAGAGTCACCACCACGTATAAGTAAGTTTCACAGTGTCTATTTATTCTTTGATCAAATGTAATCAAGGCACTTTTTACTTTCACTTTCAATTTGGAATAGCAAGTGTGTGCTTGATTGAAGCAAAAATAATAATTACATAACATAACAGCCTAATGATCCATCCATCTGTCCATCCATCCATCTATCTATCTATCTATCTATCTATCTATCTATCTATCTATCTATCTATCTATCTATCTATCTATCTATCTATCTATCTATCTATCTATCTATCTATCTATCTATCATCTAGTTTCATCTGAAAACGTGATGGCTGCAGTTCTTATAACAGCCACAAGGGGAGTCTAAACCCAAATGATATAGGCACTGTTGTAAACGCACGTGTCTTCAAATGCTGTAATAATGAGTTTGTGTAATCTGCAGGCTGCCGAGTCGAGTGGACGGCACTGGGTTTGTGGTGTATGACGGCGCCGTGTTCTACAATAAGGAGCGAACGCGCAACATAGTGAAATATGACCTGCGAACCCGCATCAAGAGCGGCGAAGCCATTATTGCGACAGCAAACTATCATGACACCTCGCCGTACCGCTGGGGAGGAAAATCTGACATCGACCTGGCGGTGGACGAACATGGGCTGTGGGTCATTTATGCCACCGAAGCCAATAATGGACGCCTGGTGGTCAGCCAGGTCAGAAACTCAAATAGAAATAAAGCCAAATAGAAAACAATTAAAGAGTTGTTGAGAAACTTGCTTATAGAATAGCTAGATCATAACAATAACAATAACAATATTCTGCTGTGGTGACCCCTGATAAATAAGCTGAAGATGAATGAATGAAAAACTTTGCTGTCTTTCCCTAATGGAGCTCTTTACTGTACTGACTGTCTTGTGTGTGTCAGGTGAACCCGTACACGCTGCGTTTCGAGGGCACGTGGCAGACCAGTTTCGAGAAGCGCATGGCGTCGGACGCGTTCGTGGCGTGTGGGATCCTGTACGCCGTGCGCTCCGTCTACCAGGACGACGACAGCGAGGCGGGAGGAGATCTGATCCTGTACGCCTACGACACACGGAGGAACCGCGAGGAGCCGGTCAGAATCCCCTTCCCGAACCCCTACCAGCACATCTCCTCCATCAGCTACAACCCCCGAGACAACCAGCTGTACGTCTGGAACAACTACATCGTGCTGCGCTACCCGCTGGAGTTCAGCCCGCCGCAGCCCACCACCGGTCAGTGCTTTTAGGGAGCCGTTTAATGTTCAGAAGAAAACTACTGTACAGGATGATGTTTGATCCTTAACAGGGCAACAATTATGCAGAAATTACTTTAATATGGGGTTTAACCCCAGTAGTGTGTGTGTGTGTGTGTGTGTATCTCCAGTACCTCTAGTGATCAACAGTACTGAATTGTGTTTGTTCTAATCAGACTTGATCAAAACTGTCTGCAGAAACACTTTGATTGACATTCTCCCCTTGAGCATGTCATCAGAGAGGGAAAGCCCCACCCACTAGTGCTGATCTCTCCCTCATTTGCATAAGGCCCCAATTACACTACCAGTTAAACGTGACCCAATTCAGATTTTTTGCTCATATGTGACACAGATTGGATCTGTGACCGTGTAAACACATAAAAAGCACATGCATTCAGACATTCGGAGATCAGTTTCAGACCTCCTTCATATGTGGAAATAAATCAAATATAAATCGCATATGTGACGTTACTGCAATGATCATGTTACTAGGCAGATCAGATTCTGCTTTATATGTCAATAAACTTGTGACAATGTGGTATTTCTCGTGTGTGTGGAGACGCCGACACGGTGAACAACAACAGCAACAGAGGAACATGGAGGAGGAAAGTGCTCCCACCAGACCTGAGATCTCTCTCATACCCACAAATTCCTCTGAATGGTGGAGGACACCATATATAAAACACAGGCACAAGCTGCGATGACGGCGCTTTCCCTCCTCCTCTGCCTCAAAATCATATTAATGTTGAGGGAACTTTGCATATTTCACAGAGCTAAAAGCAAGACAAGTTCTTCGACCGTGGCTAGTGGGGCGCAGATGCTAGAACCCGCCTTTACACGTGCGACGTAAATTGTATACCAAGTGTAAACACATGAATCAGATATGGGTCACAATATTTGTGTAAACGAACTGGCAAAAAACAAATCGGAATAGGGCATCAAGACCTGACAGTGTAAACGTGGCCTAAGAGGATTATAGATGGTGACACACAGACATCTGTGGCTCCGCCCTCTTCTGAAAGTGCACAATCTCATTTGTATTTAAAGCGACAGTCACCAAAACACCACAGGATTTAAAGGGCCATGAAAGCCCCTCGTTTCAGCAGGGTGTTTTCACACCTCTACTTTGGAAAAAGTCAGAAAAGTGGGCGTGTCCAGCTGTTTAGGGGGGAGTGTCGGAGGAACTAAAGTGGGATGGTGTGGGAGTGTCTATTTGGGCACGCGCGAGTTTCAGAGTCAAAACACACACAAACACACACACACACACAAACACACACAGGGGAGAAAGTGAGTGTGTTTACATGGACATCTGTAGTCGAATTATTTGCCAAATTATTAAATGTTGGACTTTAACTGCAGTTTGGCTCTTTCATTCAGGGAATTCATTCATGCCCCTCGCGACAAACCAGATATTTGATTCGAGGAACTGCTTTAAGCATGTGTTTTTCATGCAATGTTTGATACCACACGGCGAATGAGAGAAAAAAATAACCCTCTGCATTTCCCAGAAACTTAGATGCACATGGCAGGTAGCGTCAGAAAGCCGAGTGTGTTATTCCGGTCACAAATGCGGCGAAAATTCTACACGAGGTTAAAGTTTGGTTGTGGTGCTAACATGTTTACACTCGGTGCAATAGTTTGTTTGATACGAATAAAATACGAACTGAATAAACAAAGAGCACTGGTCACTCGCTTACCAAATCTGTAGAGACAGGACAATCACCAGCAACTAGAGCCGCGTCTTTATTAAGAGGAGACGACAAGCGAATCCAGATCTCAGCGTTTGCAGATGAGAACAGCTCTCAGGTAAACAATGTTCCTCCTTAGACACGTAAGTTATTGTTGTGGAGCGTCGCGTACACTGTTAATCCACACGTGAGTCTGCGCTCTCACAGAGAGAAAATGAAAACTTCACTGCAGCAAACTATAAAAGCAACACTTCACGCTTGTTTTGCCAACACAACGTGGCGTCTCTGTCGTCTAAACACTGTGACAGTAATGAATATTAATGAAGTTGCACAATAGAGCGCGCTGATTGGTTTGAACCAAGCTTTACTCATGCATTAATGCAGCACACTGTAAGACGTAATAAGACTCACTCTGGCACAGACGTCCAGTCTGCACGCTGGAATACACGCTATTATGTCATGACCGTGACGCAGCGTCAAAAATTAGTTTCAAACCGGAAGTACCAATTTGCTTAAGATAACGCACAAACAATTAATTTACACTTTTTAGTGAAATATAGGTGACCTAATAGTGTTTTTAGCAGTGTGGGACACGTATACGACTGTCAACAGCTCAACACATGTGTTTTGGTGTTTCGTGACCCTTTAAGGCTAAAAGGATCAGTTTCAGAGAGCTGGAGAACATTATATGTGTGCTATTCTCAGCTCAAACACACACACTCTAGACACAGCAGAGATGCATTTAGATCTTGTAGAAAGGAACATGATTGGTCTCCTCTGAATGATCTAAAACAGGGGTGACCAAACTCGGTCCTGGAGCGTGGATGTCCTGCAAAGTTTAGTTCCAACCCCAATCAAACACATCTGAGCTAGTTAATCAAGCTCTTACCAGGGTTTCTAGAAGCATCCATGCAGGTGTGTTGAGGCAAGTTGGAGCTAAAACCTGCAGGACAGCGGCCCTCCAGAACCGAGATTGGGCACTCCTGACCTAGAATCATCAATGAGGGATCTGAACTACAGCTCTGTAACTGCACTAAAGTCTCTATAAGTCTCTTCAGTTTAATCTCACTGCAAACATCCTGATGATTTCTTCTGTTTTCCTCCTCTCAGATCCGCTCTCCACTCCTCTTCTCTCCACGACTCCGCCCAGTTCTCTCTCCTCCACCGTTTCCATGGGCTTCAATCCCACTTCCGTCCCGTCGGTGACCTTTCACCCAGTGGGAGCCATAAACCGGGCTCCGGCAGGGCGTCCCATCACAGCCACGGTCCCGGTGACTGTCAGGCCCCCCCGCCGACCCCAAGGGCCCCGGACACCGATGTGTGAGGGCCGCGTGACTCGGGGAGTGCAGTGGCCCCCGACACACAGAGGAGAAACAGTGGAGAGACCCTGCCCCAAAGGATCTCTCGGTCAGTGTGTGTGTTAGGGCTGCGTGATATGGGACAAATGAGCATATTTAGTTTTGGTTTATGCAATTATTGATCAAACATCTTCTGAACTTTTTCCCGTATTACACCATCTATAACAAATGTTCAGTGTTTAACATATTTTTAAAGTGCACTATACTTATTATAATAACTGCAGGCGTGTAGTGGAGTCTAACAGTGACCACCATCAGGCTTCATGTAGATCATACAGTTTACATCAAGGCTACTGAAGGTCATATGCTAATGCTAGCTTTAAAGCTACACCGTCCTGCGGTGTGTGGTCATCGACTCCATCTAAAACTAATCTAAAAGCTTTTTTCAGGAGTTTGTGTTATAATTATCTGACATGCTAATTTCATTAACCGGGAGGAGTGAAGAATGCATGCATAAACCCGTTTGGTCACACAGCAGGAGGATTAAAACTCTAGTTAAAGATGAGAAGAAGTGATTCATGTTTTAAATGGAGGCCGATGTGATGTTTGATTTGTTGAAAGAGGTGTGTGTGTGTGTGTGTGTGTGTGTGTGTGTGTGTGTGTGTGTCCACGTTTTCTCCTGCACTGAACTCTGAAATGCTGGAAAGTCGACACACACTTGCTAGTTCTTCAGTGAACTCAGCTCAGCTTCACATTGTGCCGTGTTTGGTTTGGGAAGTTCTGTGTCTCTCTAAAAGTCTCTTATTTAATTTATTGCTAATTAAGCCAGTTTTAGTGGGTGGCAAAGAAGCTCAGTGGTTAGCACTGTGGTCTCACAGCAAGAAGGTCGCTGATTCTAGTCCCAGCTGAGTTTGCATGTTCTCCCCATGTTAGCATGGGTTTACTCCAGGAGCTCCGGTTTCCCTCACAAGTCCAAACACATGCGCCATTGGGCAATTGATGAACTAAATTGGCCGTAGTGTATGAGTGTGTGTGTGAATGTGAGTGTGTATGGATGTTTCCCAGTACTAGATCGCAGCTAGAAGGGCTTCCACTATGTAAAACATATTTATGATTAAGTTGGCGGTTCATTCCACTGATAAATTAAGGGACTAAGCTGGAGGAAAATGAGAGAATGAGCCAGTGTTGAGTGTTTTCCTCTTCTCTGACTGCTCTCGGTGTGTCTTGCAGGAATAGCGTCGTATCAGTGTATGTCCGATGACGTGGTCTGGAACCCTCGAGGTCCCGATCTCAGCAACTGCACCTCTCCCTGGGTCAACCAGGTCGCTCAAAAGGTAAGTCGGAGGTCATCCGGAAGAAAAGCAACAGACAGAACAAGCCATGGCTGTCTCTGAAATCGCCCCTATACCCTTTAACCACTTAAACTCTGCGGACCCGGTACCGGACCGGGTCTGTGACGTCATCGACTTTCGCTTTCAGATTTAAAGGGCTAGCGTTGCACCAGACCCCCGTAAGTGGTTTCGTTTGAAAGTGTAAAATCTATATTTTATGCACAAATGCATCACTTTGGTTTTTATTCTACTGTATAAAAGTTATTTACACTTAAATACACAGTATTTTGGATACCCGAGCTGGGTATTTTACATTGGTTCATTTTTATATATTTTTTTATATGACACATGTACAAGTTATAGCTCAAATGAAAGCTCTTGCCGGTGCTCATACGGTTCTAGCATTCTTTTTACTGAATTATATTCATATGTTAAACAGTTGTTGAATGAATTGTGGTGTTTCCATGGCGCAGAAGTGAAAACAATACATTCATGATCAATAAGCAGCCCCAGATAGCACAGACAGCTGTCATCTCTCACCTTATGCTGTGCCTTTCCGGGCCATTCTTCTCTGTTTTTGAGCTGATGTGCATAAGTAATGCTTTTACATGTCTGACATGGTCCAAACACAGTAAATTATGTTTGATCAAACAAAAGAATAGTGAAATATGAACACAATGATCGCTCCCTGTGGCTTGTACAGCACCTCTCATCAGTTGGAATGCAATAACTTTTGCATAGATTATGGTGGAGACATTTTTCTTTTTTCCTATGATTTCAGACATGTGCAGGAACCACCAACATTAATTACAGCACGCTAGAGCACACACCACCTAAAAGGTACACTTTCAAATTTCAGTTTATAAAAAAAATACAAAAAGCGCCTCTTTTTTTTAGGTGTTTATTATAACACAGACAATATATACCGTTATTTTAAACACTTTCAACAGTGTTTTATGAAAATTCAAAGGGTTTTCTTTAAAATGATACCAAATTTTTGCATTTACACCTCTGCATGTAGATTTGGGAAGCTTTTAAATTTGGGTAGGCAAAATCCAGGCGGAAATCCCCTAATAGCAGCAGAGTTTAAGTTATTAGTGCACTATTTCAGGGAGAAGCCACTTTTAGTGGTGTCCCAAACCCTAGTGGAGGTTCTGAAGTGCACTCAATCAATTCCACAATGCACTTCAATAACAAGTCTACAACCCATGCACACTCAACAGCTAGAACAATCCCATAATGCACTGCAAAAGTTTGCACACTGAATGAATTCCTCCTTCTGACCACTAGATGGCGTCTAAAGCACGATCCTCTCTGTGTTTAGTTTAAAAATAAAATATGATTTAATTAAAGTGACGTTTGTATACATGACAGAAATCAAAAGTCTTTGTTTCGCTACGAATAGACAAATCCTATTGGTGTATAGATTAAAAATGAAATATTATTTATCGTTTAATTAAAGTAACATTAGAGGATGACATTTTTCGGGAAATCCCACGGGTCACGGGATACCTGCGGGATTGGAGTCATCTATTAATCACGGGATTGGGACAATACAGGATAAAATATTGACGGAAGCAGCAATCAACCAATAGGAAGATGACAAAAAAATTGCACCGCAATCTTTTAATATTTAATATACCTACAATGTAACGCAATTAAAAATGAACTACACGACCCAGAAGCCATCAGTGCTGGAGGGAGCAAACACCCGCGGAGAAACTGATGTGACGACAAATGATTTGCAGCGCAAAGTCAGACGTAATGACATGTCCATTAAATGAACAGAACTGTTCGGAAAGTCGGAGATATTAAAGATGTTTATGAGGAGATCTGTCTGAGGGATTTATCCACCCAACAAAACGCCACTCCTTCAGTGCACTCAGTAGTGCTCGAATCACTTCCACTCCTTTAGGTGGACTATAGTAGTGGACTAATGTAGGGAATAGTGAGTGAGGGTATAGTGGGCCATTTCAGATACAGCACTTCCACATGTACATAAGTATTAACATGAAAACATACCCAACCAACATCTTAACCAACTAGAGGCCAGTCGATAGGTATTTATTCAGGCTGATAATGATATCAGGGGGTAAAAAATACAGTTATTGATCGATATTATTTCAAATAAAATTCAAAAGAACTTTTATTCAACCAACAGGGGGCGATAAAAACCCACTAGGCTTCACACTAGATGCAGAATTATGGATTTTGCTCGAGTAAACAGTGCAAGTGTTCAGCTGGTGGATGTTCAGATGTTGTTTTGCTGTAGATTAAGAGTGGAGAGAACGCAGCTCATATCGCCGCTGTGCTTGTCAATCACACCCGGGGGCGGGTCTATGCTGGTGATGTCACGTCCTCTGTGCGTCTGATGGAGCAGCTGCTGGACATCCTGGACTCACAACTGCAGGCGCTGAGACCCGGAAACAAAGAGTCGGCCACACGCAACTATAACAAGGTGCTCACACACACACACACATGCACACACATCATAAAAACACACAGACAAACACACACACACACAAATGAAAAACACCCACACACGCATGCACACACACACTCTCTTCTCTCGTACAAAAACACACATTGACTCACACGCTCATAAACAAACATGCACACTTACACACATACACAAATATGAATAAACACATACGCACACACTCACACATTAACAAACACACCCACACAAAGAATAACACACACATGCTAACTAACCACAAAGCACAAACAAACACACACACTAACACGCAGATGCACAATAACTCGCATACACTCGTACTTGCA